GTTTTAATGTTGTTGGATGTGATTTGAAGACTCGACTAAGTTAGTATGATGATTTATGACTTGTTGGTATTTTCGGACGGGGCCCCAAGTACTTCAAGTGCGATCCGGATTGAAATCGGATCAATTTTTGGACTTAGGCAAACTTTGAAATTTGCAGCTTCTGGGGTCATTGCACCTGCGGAGGGACTGACCGCAGGTGCGGACTCGCACAAGCGAGCTGTGGCTTGCAGAAGCGGACGAAGGGCTGCCCAGTTGGAGCCGCAGATGCGGCTCTTGTTGCGCAGAAGCGAGAGGAAGGGCGCATGTGCGATGGAATTTTCCGCACCTGCGAAGGCGCATATGCGGTCCAAAGCTCGCAGAAGCGAAGGCAGCTAGGCTGAGCAATTTTCGCAGATGCGGTATTTCACCGCAGATGCGAGACCGAAGGTGCGAGAATTTTTTCCGTAGGTGCGAAAGCACTGACCAAATTACAAAAACAGAGGGGTTCCGATATTTTTGTCATTTGGATATTTTCAACACGATTTTGGGCGATGTTTCAGAGAGAATTCACGAGGAAACTTGAGGTAAGTCACATGTGATCATTGTTAGTTAATTATATTGGATTATCATTGAATATTTCGAATAGATTATATGTTTTTGAGGTGAAATTAGAGGATTTGGGCCTAGGGATTTCAAAATGAGAATTTGAGATTTGGAGGTCAAGTTGATGTCGGATTTTTGTAAAAATAGTATGGTTGGACTCATAGTTGAATGAGCGTTCATATTTCGTAACTTTCGCCGGATTCCGAGACGTGGTCCCCACAGACCATTTTTGAGTTAATTTCGAATTTTATTGAAAAACATAGTATTTTCTTATGGAATCGATTCTATAATTTTTGTTGACTGTATCATATTAATTATGACTAGATACGAGTCGATCGGAATCAAAAAATCGAGGAAAAAGCATACTACTTGGTTAAATTGGAGCAAGTCGAGGTAAGTGACTTGTCTAACCTTGTGTGGGAAAAATTTTCCCTAGAATTGATATTAATTTGATTATTGAAATATGTTGAAAGTCGTGTTCGCGAGGTGACGAGTGTGTACACGGGCTAAATGTGAAAGATTATATTTTTAAATTGTGTAGATCATTGTTGCGCATTTATTAAATTATTTTATCTTGTTATATTCTTCATCATTGATCTAAGATATATACCTTAAATTTGTTTGACCTTTTCCTGCTAATTGTTATACGTGTTTAGTTGAAACTTGGTTTCTTTTATTCTGTGCATTATTTGAAGGGTGATTTTCTTTAAATTAAATATTATTAATATGAAGTATTTGACATTTTAAATTTGATATTGAAGCAACGTATTAAAGATTATGAAATATTATTTTCCGAAATTATTTATTCTTGAATATTTTGTAAGATTTTTGTACTTATTGTAATAGAGCCGTGAGCTCTTTATTGTGGAAAAATTTTATTGATGATTTATTTTGGCATGAGCCGTGAGCTCTTTATTGTGAAAAAAATATTGTTGTTGAATTATTTTGACAAGTTACATGATTTTAGCACTTGAGGTGAAAATTGTGATATATTGTGATATTGATACGCACGCGGTGGTATAAGGTCTGGGTATTGAAACGCATGCGGTGAGATAAGGGTGGCTTGATACGCTTGGCTAGTAGGGGAAAACTACTAGAAGTCATGCGGTGTGATAAGGATGGCTAAAACACAGGATGCTATTTCGAAAAATATGTTTTCTTTCAAATAAATTGTGAAGGTTCCCGCGGTGAGATAAGGAAATGAGATATTGTGAATTTGTTTATGGTTTGGGACTACGAGGCGGTACTTCGAAAGTGCCCTTGTTAATATTGATTTATGGCCGCAGTTGCCTTGATTATTTGCTGTGATTTTCTTAAAGTTGAAAGGAAATTCGGTTTTATTTCCACGAGATATTATTTGAAATTCTGTTTTGTTTCCACGAGATATTATTTTCCATTATTTTGCTTAATTAAATGGTGACACACTACTTGATTCATTTTCAATGTTATTTTATTTTACTATATTGTTAAATATTTTACCATGCCATTATTATATTCCAGTAGGGCCTCACCTGACCTCATCACTACTCTACCGAGGTTAGGCTTGGCACTTACTGGATACTGCTGTGGTGTACTTATACTATGCTTCTGCACATCTTTTTGTGCAGATCCAAGTACATCTTACCAGTCTAGACGTCAGTGAGTTACCTGCGCACAGAGACTTCGAGGTATATCTGTCAGCGTCCGCAGACTCCGGAGTCCCCTTCTATCATTTTTACGTTGCTTCCTTATTTTTCTTTAGACCTTGATATATAGAGACATTGAGAATAAATTCTTAGAAACTTGTGACTTACTTTTACCGGGTTTTGGGAGTTGAAATTATTTGAATTGTAGTTTATTTATTTCATATATTTATTATTATTCCGCATTAATAGGCTTACCTAGTCTTAGAAACTAGGTGCCATCACGACATCCTACGGAGGAAATTTGGGGTCGTGACACTCGGGCTCCAAACTAAACATGCACACAAGTGTAATAGCATCCTACGAACTTGCTCGTGCGATCAAAACATCAGAATAACACCTAAAACCACGAATCAGACACCAAAATAAATGATGTTTTCAAAGAAACTTAAGAACTTTCAATTTTTCTACTGGATGTCTGAATTACGTCAAATCACTTCCGTCTTGCACCAAATTTTGCAGACAAGTTATAAATACTGAAACGAGCCTATACCATATTTCGGAACCAAAATCCGAACCCGATAGCAATAAAGTCAACCTACAGTCAAACTTAAAAATTATTTAAACCTTTAAATTGCTAGTTTTCAACAAATTACATTAATTCAAGCAAGGGGCTTCCGAACTAGGTTTCGGGCATACTCCTAAGTCTCAAATCACGATACGGACCCACCGGGACCGTCAAAACACTAATCCGGGTCCGTTTACATAAAACGTTGACCGTAGTCAACTTAAATGAATTTTAAGGCACAATTTCACATTTTCATAAATTTTTTCATAAAAACTTTTCGGAATGAGGACAAGGACTATGCATGCAAATCGAGGAAGACTAAACGGAGATTTTCGAGGTCTCGGAACACAGAAATAAAAAGTAAAATTGTAAATGACCTATCAGATTATCACACATTCTTTCTCCATATTTAATTTGATAACAGTTAATGCATGCACTTAATAATATTTTACTAGTATTTATATGGGATTGGGTCTTCAAGGTTGTTATATAGGAAGAAGCCTAACTTAGTGGATGAGGAAAAAACGAAGAATGTGGGTGTGTAGAAGACTGATATGCAAGCGCGGGAGAATTGAGATTTTGCAATAGGGTGCCATCGACTAGGGGCGGATCCAACGCTATGGCTTCAGGTCCATCTCAACCTAGTATTTTCAACGTGGAATTTTAATTTATATATAAAAATTTAATAAAACTATAATAAATAATAAATATGAACCTATAACTTTATAAATATAATGAGTTAAATGTTAAAATCTTAAAAATTGAACCCATAAAATTTAAATGCTAAATTTACATCTGCCACCAACTTGTATGTGTAGTGTTTATTTAGACGTACTCATATTTTTAAAGCTAATATACCACTATGCAGGATACCTAGTAGATAACTTTATTAATAAAAATCAAATTGTCTCTTACATTAAAAAAACATGACAAAAATTTAAAAAATATTTTGGTCAAGTTTCTAAAATTTGCTTATCTTTAAAATTGCTTCTTTCAAAAGTGCTTTTTAATAAGTACTTTGAGAGAAAAATAGTTGTTTGTATTGGTTAATCAATTAGAAAAATATTTTTGAGTTGTAATTTGGGTTTGGCCAACAATTTCAGAAAGTGATTTTCTGTATCAAATTACGAATAAAGATAAGAAAAAATTTACTTAATAGTTATATTATTTAAGTAAGTAAATAATTTTAATTTTTTATGAAAGATTATATTTAATTTTTTATTTTTATTTACGTAAAATATGAAAATATAATTTAAAAGAACTTATTTAAAGAAATTAAAATATCATTCAACAAATATAAAAAATTACTGCACTAATCACTCTATATCAGAATCTACCCTAAAAATAAGAAGAAATACTTTTACATGAGAGTTCCCAAAAATTGCGATTAGGATAACGTAAGTATTAGGTTAAAGTAGGTAGGGTTATTTGGTATATTTTTGTCATGTGAAAAATTACAAATAATTTTTGCTTCTACGGATACACTACATTTTTCAGCTTCTTAAAAACAAAGATTCTGTTTCTACTCAAAAGTACTTTTGTTTCTTCCTAGAAGCTTGACCAAACAACTCAACTTTTTAAAATAAATATTTTATTTAAAAAGAAAAAATACTTTTGACCTCCTAGAAACTTGACTAAACATACTAATATTAATTAATTGCTTCAATTTTCAATTTGGTACAATCTGGTGTGAAATTCGGAAAACAAATAATATTAAATTATATTTGCTATTAAGAAAAAAAAGTTGAACTAAAATCGAACAAAATCATCAATATATACCACTTGTTAAACTTATTAATTCTTTCTCATTTCTTTTCCTAGCTTGCAATAAAAAACCATCTTTGGTAATAGGAAATTCTCCAGTAACCAACAAGCACTAAGATTTTGGTTTGGAAATTTAATTATGTGTTAGCTAGACTTGATTATGAGATGGTATTTCGAGTACATGATATTAATTAAATGGATGCTTTTTTTGCTATACATTAAATGGATGTTGTTCAGTAATATTTCTCTTCAATCTGTGAATCATAAAAATAAATTTATTTGATTTAAAATAAACAACTGATGCTGACAAGTATAGACTCTGAATCACTTATCCAATCCTTTAAAGGCAAACCAGTTAAAATTGAATGGTCGTCATTTTGTTCTTGTCTGGCTGTTAGTTATTTTCTTATCCTCGTCTCCAATTCCTACCAATGTTAACTAACCCCTTTTGCACTTCAAATTAACAAACTTTTCACTTTCACTTTTTCGTTTCTTCATTTCTTTCTTTCCATTTTTCACATCTTTCTATCTCTCCAATCTGATTTATAAAAGAAGGGGAGAGAGGAAAGAAAATTAGTCAAATCATGACTCTATCAAAGGATAATGATGAACAACAAAAACATGTTATGGGGTACCCTTCAATATCTAAATACAATCAAAGTATTAAACACGGGTTCCCTTCACAATATGATAGTAATTACCAACAATACAATTATTTTTCTCAAGGGTATATTTTACCCATCCAAGGCTATCCTAACCCTAACCCTAACCCTAATTTATACGTATCTTCATCATCCAATTATCCGACTAATAAGTACATATCAATGGCGGCTTATAATCCAATGGAAGAACAAAACAATGGAAAATTATCATTTGGTCGTTTGATGGTTATTTTGATGCTAATTTTGGTAGTAGGAATGATCATGTTAAGCCTAGTAATTTGGCTACTTTTTGGAACTGAAGGACCTGTGTTTCATATATTAGCTTTAAGTGTTCCTAGTTTTAGGATTATTAACTCGTCAATAGTTGGTAATTGGCAAGTAAATTTCACAATGTGTAACATCAATGATCACTCAAAAATCAAAGTTTTTCATGGCAAGACTTCCATTTTTTACAAAACTAACCTTTTGGCTGTGACACCTTTTGATCCTGTAAATTTGGAGGCTAAAAGTACGATGAATATGTTGTTCAATTTAACCACATTACCTGAAGGAAATGTTTTGGATCAAGTGGCTATATCAGAAATTAGTAAAGATAAAAGTGATGGGGACATAGAATTTTCCTTGGAGATTTCTTTGAAGGCTGTTTTAGCTTCTGATTTAGAGTGGCAAAGCCATAAGATGATGGTTTATTGCAATAATTTGAAAGTTCAGTTTGGACCTGAAGATAAAGGAGAATTGGTAGCAGCTGACAAAATTAAATGTCTAATTGTTGGATAATTGATTTGGTAAGTGTTCTGCTGATATATTTCCCCATTGATTTTTCACCACCCTTTCCAACCCTTTGCTATATTATATTTTTCTTTGATCTACGTTATTAGTCTGTTTGGCCAAAATATCAAAATCTATTTATTTTGAAAAGTATTTTTTTGTTAGAATTGCTTTTTGAAAAAGTATTTTATGGAAGTAGCAGTTTGTTTCGCTAATGAATTTGAAAAATACTTTTGCCAATTTTAAAGCAGCAATTTGTGCTCAACCAAGTTTAGGGAAAATTATTTTTTTCAGCTTCTCAAAATTAGCTTCTGCTACTACTCAAAAATATTTATTTTTTTCCTAAAAGTTTAGCCAAATACCTCAACTCTTTGAAATAAGTACTTTAAAAAAAAAAAATTACACACTTTGATTTCACATAGGCTTGTCCAAACATGCTATATGTTTTCATTGAATTCCTGAATGCACCATAATAAGAATTCACAGCTTTAGTATTAGAAACTTCTTTTAGAATTATATCTAATACCTTTCCAATTCATGACATTTTCTTAACTAAATTATATGCAGTTGAATTACAAGAAGGGTACGAGGTTTATGAACAAATTCTAGGGATATCTTCTCGTCTGGCTGTGATTCTTGGCAAAGTGAACATTCTTTGGACCAAGTATTTGAGAACAGGAAAGAGGATTTTGGTAGGAATATTGGAGTAAAGCTGAGCTTTCAGTTTATTTTTCTTCTTTTTCTAATAAATCATGTTCCAAGTTTTTCATTAGATGGATTTAGATTTGGGCAATATATATGTAACTGTATTGCACCAATTGGGAGGCTGGTACTTTGGGCATCCAATAGGCCCCAGTTTAATACATTTTTGTATATATTGTTAATTTGTACAGTGCTTTTGAAATACGAAGTATATTGTTACTTTTCGATATTCTCTTACGATTTATTTTCTCCTTTTCTGTTGAAAGGTAAGTTTCACACTCGCCCAAAATATCTGTTTCGGAAGGATTAAGTTGGACCTATATACGTGGATGATACACTTTTGATCACTCAACTATTAGTACATTTTTATTCCAATACTTATGATATATAATTCATTAAGTACATTTTCCCTTGAATTAATCTAATTAAATGTGTGTTATTTATCCCATTACATGGAAAATTATTGTATTTTGGATTATTTTTAGAACTATAACAACGTCAAACATGAAGTAACAATATAAATTTAACATAACAAATGAGAAGAATTAACCCAAATAGCCGTTTACCTAATCACTTAAATTAAAAATAGCCGGTGGAAGTATAATATAAGCATAACTTATGTACTATATGTGTATAATTATGTATAATCTGTGTATATGGCTAAAAAAAGTAAATAATGAATATGACTGGCTAGCCGCCCACCTAATCTCTTGAACTAAAAATAGTCGGTGAAGGTATAATATATGCATACTTTATGTACTATGTGTGTATAATTATATATAATCAATGCATAATCTATATATATGACTAGAAAAAGTAAGTAATGAATATGACCGACTATTTGCGTAAAGCTCACAATAATTTAATGATTTATGAAGATTCACACGTCAAAAGCGCACACTTCAATTGAAGGTTTAGATGTCCTTAACCGAATATCACAAATCCAAAACTTAGAATTTGTTAAAATTTCAGGGACTAAAAATGCAAATTTATGTGCTGTTTTTTTTTTTTTTGTTTGTTTGTTTGTTGATAAAATTCTCAAATTTTATAAGCACGAGTAGTTTTTAGCTCTCGAGGACCTCTAAATCAATCATAAAAATTTAAGGGGTGACCAGGTTCCACCTTGCTATTTAAATTATATCCAACTTCTTCAAAATACTACATATATAATACATAAATTATTCATTCACCGGCTATTTTTAGTTTAAGTGGTAGGGTGAACGGCTATTTGGATTAAGTTTTCATTAAATTCAGCTAAAGAAGACAATTCCCCCTACATTTCAAACAAGCAAATATTCAACTCCTTAGATTTTCCGATCCAAATTCAAAATTACATAAGCCAACTTTACTCAGAACGGGACATCAGAGGAATCAAGTACTCCCTCCGGTCCACAATAAGTGACCATTTTACTTTTAGCACATCTATTAAAGAAATACGAACTCCTAGAGTAAAAAAGATGTATTCACTAAATTAACCTTAATTAATTGTTATCTTGACATATTGAAATATGTAAATAAGGAAAAATTTTGGAAAAATAAAATTAATTTCTTCTTGATTATGTAAATGGACATTTATTTTGGACTAAAATAAAAAGGTAAAATGATTACTTATTGTGGACCGGAGGGAGTAGTGTTTATCATTAGAGCATCATTCATGAGATTTTGTATATTTTTAATTTATGTTTAATGTATTTGATTTGAAAATTTAAAAAGTGACAAAGTTGTCGAAGCCTAAGTTTTTTTTCCTTCATCCTAGCCTAGTATCATCTTTCAAAGAACGAATGAAAAATAATACTACAACATACTTTTTTTTTTCCGATGAAGGTGTATATAAAATTGAAATTATTCAAAAATTATTTCCTGATGAAGGTGTATGTAAAATTGAAATTATTCGATTTTTTTTTTTCCTGATGAAGGTGTATATAAAATTGAAATTATTCAAAAATTATTTCCTGATGAAGGTGTATGTAAAATTGAAATTATTCGATTTTTTTTTTTCCTGATGAAGGTGTATATAAAATTGAAATTATTCGAAACTTTTTTTCCCTGATAAAGGTGTATATAAAATTGAAATTATTCGAAACTTTTTTTCCCTGATAAAGGTGTATATAAAATTGAAATTATTCGAACCTTTCGATCCTCAATCTAAACCAACTTCTAGAAGTATATCCCCTTTTTTTTTGGAATTTTTACATATCTATATACTACTGGAAATTTTATTACCCTCCCTACTCAAGTTTTAATTTAATTATATCCTATACAAATTTACCAATTATTCAATTATTTCCCATTCTTATTTTCTCTCCCTCATGCTCTCTCTCTCTCTCTCTCTCTCTCTCTCTCTCTCTCTCTCTCTCAATCCCTAATTCCAGTAATGTAGAACAAAAGAAAAGAGAGCAGCAATTTCACCATTGACAGCCATTAAAAAACTTTGAAGCTTTGAATTCGAATTTGGGTTTTCAAAAAATATTATTTGTTTGAATTGGGTGTTGTTGCAAATAATTGGGAATTCTCTCTACGTCTCTCTCTATCACTCAATCCCTAATTCCAATAATGTAAAGCAAAGGAAAAGAGAGTAGCAATTCCACCATTGACAGCCATTAAAAAATTTTAAAGCTTTGAATTCGAATTTGGATTTTTAAAAATCATTATTTGTTTCGATTGGGTGTTGTTGCAAACAAATGAGAATATTGTTTGGAGTTTACATCTCAATTTTGAGGGTGTTTTGGTGAAGATTAGACTTGATTTTGGCTGAATTTCAGATTGAAATTCGAAGAAGAAGAAGAAGAAGAAGACATAACATATATTATACTTACTAAATTATGTAAGCACATAATTTTTGACCCGCGTAACTTTTAAAAGTAGTATTTTAAAAATATTTACTTTTAATTTCAGTCAACTTTTAATTTTAATTTCAAAAAAATATAAGTTTAAAAATACAAAAATAGTTTTATAATATTTCTTCTCTTATTAATTAGTATATTTTTGTAGTATTTTTATTTTTATTCAATGAGAAAGAATTAAATTTGGAGCAATTGGGAGCTCATTTTCGTATTTTAGTGGCCCAATAAGACAAATGTTCATTCTTCCCAATCTGTTTTAGCCCAAACCCTTTTCTCACCCATCAAACCCTTCCCTTAATCATAGCCATTAATCCACTTCCATCCAAGGGTCAATATTAATTCCCCACCCCAAATAAAACCTAACTAATCTTCCCCAAATAAGGACCTAAATCCAAAATTCCTAAGGAGAACGGTAGACCTCACCCCCAAAACCCAAAAGCTTCAGCCGCCTACTCCTTCTCTAAAATTTAATAATCTATGCTGCTTCAATGATCAATGGAAAACAAAGAAATTAAAGGAATCCATATGAAACAAATCAAATTGAGTTCACTGCTAACACAAGAAATCAAAAGGGATAAGCAATAGGCGAGAGGGGGAAACAGAGTTAGAGAAAATAGCAGAAAGGGGGACGAAAAAATGGTAGAGAACAAAGAGGGGAACGGACAGTGGAATAGAAAACAGACCTGGGGGATTTTCCTTGCAAAAGGAAAAGAGATCTGGAAAAACGGAACAAAGACTTCACCTAAAATTAGTACCAAAATTTCAGTCGAGTTCGAGTTGAGCCCGTTCGAGGTCTTCGAGTTCCGCCCAGAGTTCATCGGATCGAGGTCCATTGCTACACCTTGTTCTTATTTAATTTTTAGTGATTCTTCTTGGTGTATTTTGATATCGAATGAAGTTCTACTTGACTTTTAATTTACACAATGATGTGCTTGTGATGTTTCTGTTTTGCATTAGAGTATATTAAATGCTTATTGATGTCTGATTTCTTAACAAACAAACGTGCTTATTAGATTAATGATGAGTCAAATTGGGAATTTTAATAAAGAGGGACACAAGGTGATTAAGGAAAATATTTCAGTTGGGAATTTGGCAATTTCCTTGTCTATATTTGGTAATTTGAGTTCTAAAAGGCCGATGTTATATTTTAGTTGCATTTTATTTCGCTGGTCATTCTCATCGTCTGTTTCTTATCCACAACAATTTCCATAATTCATGGCCTCACAATAATCTCAAAGATTAGGAAAATAATCAAATGCGCTAGTTTGCTTTAGGCACGATTAATAGCAAATCATAGTGAATATGGGTATGGTTCCCATGACTATGGGTATGATATTGTAGTTGTATATAACTGGGTACAAATAATGTATGAAAGTTGTAGATAAGTTGTATAATATATAATTAGTTGTATGAAATTTATTTTTACTATGTATAAATCAGATACAAAATATACAAAAGACATATTGTATAAAATTTATATAAAAATTATATTTAAGTTGTATGATATTGTAATTATATTTAACTGGGTAGAAATAATATATAAAAGTTGTAGATAAGTTATAGAGTCATAGGCAATTCAAAGCACCACCCATGGCTTTCTTGTAGCAACTTGAATCATTTTCATTTGCAGAGATTTTACTGGCTAATGTGCATACTTGGTGCATTGTATTTCATACACTATCTGTATTGGGAGTTGTTTATGTTATTGCATCCGATTTGTTGATTTTAAAGTAGATCTAAGCTTTAGCTACACTTTTTGGTTGACTTTTCAATTATCGCGATTTATTGGTTAAGTGTTAGAAATTACTATTGAAAATCTAAATTACGTCGTTTAGTTGGTTTTGTTGTTCTGATATAAACTGAAGAAAGAAAATGCTTAGGAACGAATTGTTTAATAGTTGAAAACGTTGAAGGACTAGAGTCTAAGTATCGTAGGATCAGTGATTGTTCAATTTCGCTAATATGCTCGTAGAGAATATCGAAAATATTTAGGGAGGAAGAGCCACTTTTTATTTGTAAAGTTGTTAGTAATGGAGCTAGCTTTGTCAGTGATAATTTTGTGTCACATCTGGCAATTTCTATCACACTTAAACTTTGTTTGGAGAGAAGACGGGAGAGAGGAGAGAAAAAAAGGAAAAGGGTGTAACTAAATCCCTTGATTGAAGGCACAAATAATGGATTAGCCTTTTAAGGTGAATTGTATATATTTTGTAACTAAAATGTGTTTAGGTCGTGTAAATACCAAAACATAAATATTTTTCGTAATAAGATTTCAAATAGTGTATAGGAATGAAAAAATTATTTTTTTTCCGCGACTAGAAGTACGCGTCCTAAACGAGTAGTAATATGTACGTAAAACAAGTGGTTTTTTAGCTCTTCTATTCTATAGTCCTCACAAATCGAGAATTCAAGTTTATGTTGATCCGAAGAAAATGCTTTATATATTACCTAGCTAGTAACAATATTTTAAAATGTAATAAAAAAATCTTAATAAAATTTTCTTTCTTGAGTTTTCTTCCACCCTTTATTACCAAAATTTTCGTTTCGTGTTTCTCTTATTTCTCCATTTTCTCAATCTCCTCCTTCTCTCCTTGAATCTCCGGGCAAGAAACTATCATCCTTTCTCCCTTTCTTGGGAAGGGGACAAATTTAACCATGTCAGATTCTTCAGTTGATGATAAAAAAGATGAAACAAAACAAGTTTTAGATCATAATTTCCCCCCATATTATCCCAATCCTGGATATTATTATGCTCCATATGATCATTTTCCAGGATCATATGGACAACCTTATCTTGGTTATCCTAATCCTAACGTGCCACAATCCCTTTATTTCTACCCAAATTACCAATCTGATTACTATGACAATAATAACAATAATATTAATACTACCCCTCAACCCCAAATATCAAACGTAGCCCCACCATCAAGAAAATTGTTAACTTTCTGTCGAGTCTTGTTTTGCCTTATTTTCATTATAATCTTGGGTATCATTATCACTCTCGTAGTTATATGGTGGAAATTTTTACCATATGAGCCCAGATTTGAGGTTGTATCATTCGTTGTGAATTCGTTCGAGATATCCAACTCCTCAAAATTGAGAGCAGATTGGGAGATAGAAATGAACGTGAAAAATCCCAATAGGAAACTGGATATTAAGTTCGAGCATATATCAACTAGTTTGATGTACAAGTTTACACTTCTTGAAACGTCGTTCAGTGCACCTTTTAAACTGAATAAAAAAAGTGAAGCTACGTTTCGTGCTGATTTTGATATTCCAAATTCAAATCATAAGAAAATGGGAGGTCTTGTTGTGAATGATATAGCTCGAGATCGAAGAAAAGGTCACTTATCTTTTGATTTGAGGATAGAAGCTAAAATATTGAATATGGAAGGCAACAAGGGGAGAAACCGAAAAACAGTGTATGTTATATGTGAAGATTTAAATTTGGAGTTCAAGAATTCTTCTAGCTTGCCAAACTGGGATGGTTATATAGTGGAATGCACTTTTGACGATGATTAAATCGAGTCTTTTTATTCTTTTCTTTTTGCTGCTTTCATTGTCAATACTTTTTTTTTTGGTTAGTTATTTTTTTTCCTTTTTCTTCTAGAGGTAAGATAAAGTTCTAGAAAACAAAATGAGTATTTCTTTTTGTTTTTGTTTTCTTGGAATTAAATTGCAGAATGGCTCACTATTTTTAAAAAGAAATATATATTGGCAGCATTTTGTAGTGTTATGAATTTTTGGGCGTTCAATTACGTCCGTTTAGTTTTCTTTATACTAAATCTAATTGTAGAGATTGAATTTAAACAAATGCTACTATCTCTCTCACTTTTTTGTTTTTGTTATAAGAATTGAAAAATAAAGGACAACTCCGTGTACAAGGCATCTCGCGTTCATACATGGTCAGGGAAAGGGCTGCATCCAAAATGTATAATGTAGACAGTCTAACCTAATGTAAGCGTTGGTGGCTGATTTCACGGCTCTTCCTTAAGAATTGAACAACTCCTGCCATATTCGTATATGTCTACAATTGAATTGCTCATCCTTACAACTTCGTATATGGTAGCCTTGAAGAAATTTCATGGTTCTACACATTAATTAACAAGAAGCAGAGGCCACAAGCAACTTTATTAACTCTAGACACTAACGATGTAAAAAATATTTAGACAATTAGGTCACTTAATTGCAGATGACTTAATTTGGTAAGCATTTATTTGTAATTTATGTCAATATACATGACTTAAATCCTTTACGGTATCTTATTTCCGTGTCTATCACGTTGTTCGCCAAGCTCGAAGCTAAATCTTGTAGCCTCTCTTATTCGCCTCTTCGATTTTGTTGCTTCATCTTCACGTATAGGCAGTGTAAGAATGTGTATATAAAAACAAATTAAATAGTTACGGATATCATAAAATGATAACTTACTTGTTCTTATGTAGCAAAAGCGGAAGACAGGAACAAGCCGCAACTGAAATTGCTGACCGACGGTGATTGTCACAGTATATCGGAGCAACTCTGAATATCACAGGCTAAATCCTAGGATTGATTAATAAAAGTAGAGAGCGGTGAAAAATACTGCAGACTGTGTATATTTAGTTGTGAACTTATATAAGAAATATTTCGGGTTAACTAAAGCATTTACTTTAGGCCTCAGAAAATTAGAGGCCCCCAAAAGTTGCTTATATTATTTAATTATACTAGTCAAAGCGCGTACCCATTTCAATAAAAATATAATTTCCTTTAAAAAATCACATAATATTATTATATAATGTGTACGAATTATATAAAATTATAAATAAAAAATATCTTTAAATGATGCATATTTTTTCTATTTAGCTAGCTCAATAAATAAAGAAATCATATTCCACAGAAATTATGAGATGCCTTATTAAGATTTATGAGGACTTATGTGGGAATGTCTTATGAATTGTTTTTCTTCAATAATGTAATACTGAAAACAAAACATAAAATTACTTTTATCACGACTCTCTCATAGCATAAGTTGAAAATGGAATCTTTGCTTTTTAACCCTATACCTGCTAAAATTATTGTCAGGGACATCGTAAAATTGAAAAAATGACTAATATTGAGATAATATTTATAACAAATAACTAAATATAAAAATATAATATAGCGAACATTGTCATTTGATGGCCAAAATGCAAAAAGTAAAAAGATAAAAATGAAAACTTATTATGATACATTTGTCTTCTAGTATTTTATTTTATTTTAAATTTGTATTTTTACCAATTTAACTTTCAATTTGACGCTATTTTTTTATTTCTTTCACTGGGATGCTCTTCTTATGAAAAATAAATTTATGTACGTTAATAGTTTAGTCAAATTGACAAGTAATTCATTTTACTTATTCGATAAATTTGATAAAGAATAAAATTGGATATTATTGCTAATTATTTAATTAAAAGATTAAATTATTTGTTCTATTAAAGGAAATAATTAGTTTTTGTTAATTCCAATTAGTAATATTAGTTTTTACTATTTTCCAAATACTTTACTTTAAAACCAACTAACGCTATGTGTTATTAAATTTTTCTTTATTTAAAATAAATTAAGATTTTATTTTTTATATATATTTTTTATTTAAACTATGTAACATAATTATAAATGTAACGACCCGACCGATCGTTTTGAGCTCTAGCGCGTTGTTCGGCGGTTTGAGGCCTTGAGTAGCTTCACTTCAGGTATTATGACCTGTACGTGTGGTCGGAATTGAATTTCGGAGTTGATTTGGAAAGGAAATTCTAAATTCAGAAGCTTTAAGTTGGAAGAGTTGACCAAGGTTTGACTTTTGAGTAAGCGACCTCGAAATCTGGATTTGAAGGTTCCAATAGGTTCGTATGATGATTTCGGACTTGGGCGTATGTTCGGATTGAGTATCGGGTGATCCGGGGGAATTTTGGCATTTTGAAAGTTTTAGAATTACCTAAGTTTGGTTTGAAGTGGATTTTGGTGTTATCGATATCCGTTTGGGATTCCAAGCCTTGGAATAGGTTCGCATCGTGACTTATGACTTGCACGTAAAATTTGGCGTCATTCCGGAATGTTTACGTGTGATTCGGACGCTTTCAGCGAATAGTGAAGGTTTGAAAGTTAAGAGAGTTTAAGAAATTGAGTTTGATCTTTAATTCTTGGTAATTTGTGTTCCGATCCTTCGGATAAGTTTACATAAGGTATATAAACTTGTTAGAATTATTGAAGGGAGTTCCTCGGGTGAGTTTTGGGGTGGTTTCAGACCACTTTTAGGCCTTTTGGAACTGCTGATAACCGGTGTCGAGGGCGTGAAATGCGACGGCGGAGGTTTGAGCCGTGATCGCGAAGAGCAAAGTGTTGTTCCAGGCCTGGTGAATCACGATCACGGAAGGAAGGTCGCGATCACGTAGAAGAAATTTCTGCTATCAACGGTCTGACTTCGGAAGCTTATATCTTGTAATCTATATGGAATTTGGAGATGATACAAAAACGAAAGTTGTAGCCCTTTGAATCTAGTTTTTAAAAAATTAAATCGTTTGGAATTTGAAATTTTATACAAAATGTCATGGCCATTATATTGAAGGGTGTCTATGACGAAGAAAACACAAATTGTACATTGCGATCGCGGGATTTTGGCCGCGATCGCGATGAAGGAAACGTTGTTGGAAATTTTGTTAACTGCGATCGCATAGATTATGATCATGATCGCGAAGAAGGAGGCATAGCAGGTGTATTAAATATTTAATTTCGGGATTTTGAGCTCATTTCTTCACTTTTAAGTTCTTGGAGATCATGTGGGGCGATTTGGGGGTGATTCTTAAAGATCATTTTCGCCGTATATCATAAGGTAAGTTGTTCCTACTTGTTTCGAGTTAAATACATGGGTTATATATGGATTTTAACATGTAATTTGATAGAAATTGTGGATGTTTTGGAAGAAAACCTAGAATTGATATTTTTGGATTTTGACCACGAAATTAGATATGCAATTGGGAATAAATTATATAATTGAGTTCGTGGTGCTATGGGTAATGTTTATCTTCAAAAATATTCAGAATTTGGGCACGTGGGTGATAATAGGCTATAATTATATAGTTTAGCTACTATTTGCACTCTAACTTAGCTGTACTTTATTGATATTTGAATGTTAAATAATAATAAATTACTCTAATTAAGAACTTTATGCTTTGCAGGAGCAATTCCACGCTATGAGGACGTTAAAGAGTGTTTCGGAGCTAATATGGAGCATTGAAGGCCAATTGGAGGTTAGAGCGCTTAAAAAGAAGAAAGAAAATAATGCTGCAGAAAATCTTCTAGGTGCGCGGTCTATGCGCGGCCTCGCGCTAGGCCGCGCATGTCAGGCAGAAACTGGCCAAAGTGCGCGGTCGATGCGCGGTGGATCTGCGGCCGCGCACGTGCTTCCGAAAAAAATCGTCCAAGGCCAATTTTGTAATTTGAGATGCGACTAACCTTGACCTATATGAAGCCCAGCTCGCCCAAAAAGAGGGTATCTCTATTTTTAGAAGAACTTAGGAGGCAAGAACACAAAAAGAGCAAGACAAAGAATTCTCCTACGAGTTTTTCATCATCTTCTTCTTAATTCCCTTGTTGGTTATGACTTTTTATATTGTAATCTTGCATAGTAGTATGAGTAGCTAAACCCGTCATCTAGGGTTGATGGAACTAATTGTTGGATGAAGTCTTGATTACGTTTTGATATAATTGAGCCATTTTTTCTCTATAATTGTTCAACTATGTGTTTCTTGTGATTAATTGAAAGGGCCCTTGATTAATCGTGGCTAGTTGTCTAGTGTTGCTTGAGAAAGAACACTTGATTAGATTGTTGTTGAACAACGCCACTTTCGAGTAAGTTAAGAGATTAATTACTTAAATTTAAAAGTGGGATTAGAGATAACGAAGCTTTGGTGTGATATTTATGAGTTGTACAAATTGTCAACTAAAATAGTTCGAGAGAATGACTCTAGTAAATTATCATAATTGATCGAGAGATAAGTACGGTAAGTAAGAACTCATCATCTTTATAGAGTGTTACGGCGAGATTATAGCTAACGTGCCAGGAATTAATCCGACAATTGAGAAAATCAATAGCCCTAGATTCTTTTACCCTTGAATTCAACTTCATTCTTGCTTATTGATAGTTTTTATTGTCATTTTTCCTTAGTTAAATAATTTTTGTTAATTATCAAATAAAATCTTGTACTCTGAAAATTGTTTGAGCTTATCATTAGCGATACTAAAAGTTATAGCAAATAGGTTAGTTCTCTGTGGGATTCGACTCCAGACTCTTGAACCGGATTATTTTTGCAACGACCGCTTAGTCCTTTTTATAAGGCATAGTTGGGCGTGATCAATATTTGGCGCCGTTGCCGGGGATCGAACCCGGGCCACCCGCGTGACAGGCGGGAACGCGCACTAGGTGCCGGTTTTAGGTTATTTCATTAGTTAATTTATTTTTTCTCCCTTACTAATAACCGACCCCCCCCCCTCCCCCCTTATTCCTCCCCTAAAATCTGAATAAAAAAACAAAACAAACCCTCCTCTCTCATAACAAACACACGCCCAAAACCCTCCCTTCTCCCCAATTTCAAAAGCAAAAACCTACCTCCCTTTCCTCCTCTTCCTTACTCAATCACTTCCCAATTTCTATTCCTCACAAGCTTATTCAGGTAAGTGCCATGGCTTCTATTTTCCTTTTCCTTCAGTTTTTAATTTTTTAGTTTTTCCAATTTTATTTTTATTTCTACTTCTATTTTAATTGTATGGTAGTAGAAGTCATTGTTGTTCTTTTCTTTGCTTTGTATTACTAAGTATACTTGTTGATATGTGAGGATAGTGGAATTTCATCTTGTTGGGCTGGATTAGGCATTGTTAAGATTGTGGTGGAATTGAGGTATAATTGGGTGTTTGGGGAATTTGGGGTGAATTTGCACATCAAGTATTTGTTTAAATGCCACAGTGAGTTCGTGAATGTAATTTATGACCAATTGTGTGGGTTAAATCCCAGTAACCGTTATTGGTTCACACATCCTGCCTTATACTTGGTGGGGAGGGGGACTATTATGATACGTATAGCCGAGAACCAACCTCCTGGAACCTATTTTTCAGAACAATCTGTGTGCAAAACAAAGACATAGTGTGGGTTACGCCGGGGCGAAAGTTTCACTCGGCCTCACTCACCTTTGAAGGGAAGTGTTGGATTTATATCACCAATAGCCGCCTGCTGCCTTCCTCCAACACCACTGAGGTGAACGGTCCCAAAGCTGCATTTAATCTGGTGCATCATGAATGGACACGATTTTGATGTGGCTAAGGTTATTCACGATGAGATGTTCATCCGTTGTCCAGTGCAGAGGTATGGGTTCTTCTTCCCTTCACTAGTCACTAGATTATGT